AAAAAGAGAAAAAAAAAAAAACCCCTGCCATAAAACAGTCTGGTTACAACTGAGAAAAGAATGACAAAAATTCTGAAGCCATTTTAGCTTGGCAGAAAATTATCATCTATTTCTTGGTTCATTTAGTACTGTTAACAGCCTAGAATTGTGCAATATCATATTAGCTCATCAAGAGGTAACTAGTGATAAAGCAAACACTAAGTGACAGGCAGGAAAAACAAGTTTATTCATGGTAAATTTATGTGAAATTGATGAAATGGAGAAAGGGAGAAGATACCAAAAAAAAATACTGAAGCTACAAGCCAAGGTAAACTAAGTATTTCACAGCACAGTAAGAAATCGAAACAAGGCAATATTAAGAAATACATGGAGAGAGGTAACAGAGGAGAATTCCCTCTCCAACATACACATCGTTCCACCTACAGCTACAGGGGAAACAATGGCCTTGAGATAAACAGGCAAACTTCCAGGGACTTTCCCCATTTTTTCAACTAACTGCTTGCAAACAACTCATTCAATCAAGCTAGGAAGAGTAAGGGAGGTGAAGGGGTGGGATGTGCTTGTTGGAACCACTTCAGATGCCCGAGTCCAGAGGCAATCTTTTTTGAGTGACTATAGGAAGCATCAGCCAAATGCAACTGAGGAGCTCTACTGTCCCTGCAAACCATCCCAGGAGCTCTACTGTCCCTGCAAACCATTCCACAGCTGCACTCGTGTACACGATCCTCAAAGTCATAAACTGTCTTGGCAATACTGCACCCCAGCGTATCGCTGTCACGGCCCTTTTACAGCACAAGCCACGCAGACAGGAGCTGTTAAGCAGTCTGGGGAAAATGTCCATGAGAGGTAGACAGGCACTTGCCTTCATGCCCAGTCTGAACACAGCCTCCTCCGAAGGGAAGGCAGAACGTGCCTGTTCTTGTCTAGCTTGCCTGGACAAGATAATCTCTTATGGGAAGGCAGAACGTGCCTGTTCTTGTCTAGCTCTTTGCCTGGACAAGATAATCTCTTATATCATGAGGACCAAGACAGAGGACTCAACTTTCAAGTCTGGTGTCCTTTTTACTGATTCACACAGTCTTACAGTCTTCTTTCCAGAATTTTTCAAAAATATACACTCATCTGAATTAAAACTCAGAAACTTTGCTACTAACAGAGACCCGTAGAAACTCCACCTCTTTCAACAGTAAGAAAGACATGTAAAGAGAGCTTCTGTAGATTGCTTCTCATTGTGCAGAAACAAAATTGATCTGTCTAGATGACTTGGAAGTCTCTTCTGCCGTAAGCAGCCTTCTTCCTGCCTACTGTAGAAATCAAATCAGAAATGGGCTTAAGAAAAGGTCTTCTTAGCTGAAGGTTCCGAGGTGATCTTACAGGAGTCTTCCAGTACCTGAAGACGGCCTACAGGAAAGCTGGAGAAGGACTTTTTACAGGGGTATATAGTGATAAGACAAGGGGCAATGGCTTTAAACTGAAAAAGGGTAGATTTCCATTAGATATAAGGAAGAAATTTTTCACTCTGAGGGTCGTGAGGCACTGGAACAGGTTGCCCAGAGAAGTTCTGGATGCCCCATCCCTGGAAGTGTTCGAGGCCAGGTTGGATGAGGCTTTGAGCAACCTGGTGTAGTGGAGGGTGTTCCTGCCCATGGCAG